CATGGGAGTCCAGCGACATAGCCATTACGCTAACTGCTGGTCCCAACAGGAAGTAAACTTTCAAATTGGGATTATCCTGGGACTAAAATCTAGAATAAATGGGTTCTATAAATTAGCCATGTTTGCGTTTGTTTATTAGTTGTTTCACTGGACTTTGAATTTGGTTATATACATGTACATGTATATGTGTGTGTATGTGTATTTATATATGTGTGTGTATATGTATATGTTTAGATGCACATTCTTATATATGTATTATACCAAAATTTGAAAAATGTATTTCTCACTGAGGATTATGGCCAAAAACGTTTTAAAAAACAGTGATATAGGTACTAGTATATGTTTCATCAATATTCAACTATTTTATAATCAAGACAGAAAAATAAAATGTGTCAAAAATGCATTATTTCAATGTCTATAATAGCATCTACTTGTATAACAAAGAATGTTGAGAGGTATACTGTGGATTTAAAAATTATTATTTAATTTATTACAGTTACAGATTCAAAGATCTAGTTCTTCCTGGAACTAAGTTCAGCTTAAATATCTTAGTCTGTAAATTGAGTAGGTTTTAGCAAGCCCTCATTTTTTTGAGATTTTTTTTTTGCTATAGGGCATGTGCGATTGCCAGAGATACAGAGAAACAGAAAGTGAGACGTCATTTGGATTATATTAATTCTGCCAACCCAGGAACATGGGATGTCCTTCCACTTTTTGGGATGTTTTTCATTTCCTTTTTAAGGTTTTCATAGTTTTCCTTATAGAGATCTTTGACTTCCTTAGTTAGTTTTATTCCTAGGTATCTTATATTTCTTGTGGCTATGGTAAATGGGATTACTTTCTTCAGTTTTGTCTCTGTCTGTTTACTGTTTGTATACAGAAATGCTATAGATTTTTGTAAGCTAATTTCGTATCCTGCCACTATACTGTATGTATTTATTACTTTGAAAAAAAAATTTTGTCGATACTATTGGGTCTTCTATATATACAATCATGTCATCTGCAGACCAAGATAATTTCAGCTCTACTTTTTCTATTGGAATTCTTTTATTTCATTCTATTGTCTGATTGTGTTTGCTAGGACTTCCAATACTATATTGAATAGGAGTGTAGAAAGTGGGCAGCCTTGTCTTGTACTAGTTTTTAGTGGAAAAACTTTCAGCTTTTCCCCATTCAGTATAATGGTAGCTGTAGGTTTTTCATAGATGGCTTTTATGGTGCTGAGAAATGATCCTTATATGCCAATTTTACTGAGAGTTTTAATTATAAAGGAATGTTGTATTTTGTCGAATGCTTTTTCTGCATTGATTGAAATGATCATATGCTTTTTATCTTTCTTTTTGTTAATATGGTATATTACATTTATGATTTTGCATATGTTGTAGCAACTTTGCATCCCTGGAATAAAGCTCACCTTGTCGTGATGAATAATCTTTTTTTATATGTTGTTGAATACAGTTGACAAATACCTTACGGAGATTTTTTACATCAATATTCATTAGAGATATAGGTCTGTAGTTTTCTTTTTTTGTTATATCCTTATCTGTTTTGGGAATGAGGGTAATGGAAGCTTCATAGGATGAGTTAGGAAGATTACCTTCCTTTTGGATCTCTAGAAACAGTGTGAGTAGAATGGGGGTTACCTCTTCTTTATAAGTTTTGTAAAATTCAGTGGTGAAGTCATCGGGACCTGGATTTTTCTATGTTGGGAGGTTATTTATTACTGATTCAATCTCACTTCTTGTTATAGGTCTACTCTGGCCTTCTACTTCCTCCTGAGTCAATCTTGGTAGGTTATATGTGTTCAGAAATTTGTCCATCTCATCCTAGTTTTCTTCTTTGTTGGCAAATAGTCACTCACAGTATCCTCTAATGATGTTTTATATTCTGTTTTGTCTGTTGTAATGTTGCCTGATTCATTGTGAATTTGATTTATCTGGTTCTTTTTTCTCTTCTTCTTAATTAGTCTAGCTAATGGTGTGTCAATCTTGTTTAACTTATCAAAGAATCAGCTTTTGCTTTCACTTGTTTTCTGTATAGTTTATTTTCTATTTCATTGATTTCTGCTTGAACCTTTATTATTTCTTTTCTCCCAGCAATTGGATTTTTTTGTCGTTTTTCCAATTCCCTGAGGCATGATGTTAGGTTGCCCTTTTGCCACCTTTCCACCTTTTCCTTGTGCACACTAATTGCTGTGAACTTTCCTCTTATGCCCTTCTTTGTCTTTTCTTACTTTTTTTGTCTTAACGTATTCTGTCTGAATCAATATAATGACTCCTGCTCTTTTTTGGTTTTCATTTGCATGGAATACCTTTTTCCAGCCATTCACCTTTAGTCTATGTATGCATTTATCCAGGAGATAGGTTTCTTGTAAGCATCAGATGGAGGATCTCTGATTTTTAATCCATTCAGCCAGTCTGTGTCTCTCGATCAGAGAATTTAATCTATTAACATTTGACATTATTATTGATATTTCCTGATTGTTCCTACTGTTAAGTTAGCCACATTTTTGGTTTATATTTTATTTATTTATTTATTTATTTATTTATTTATTTATTTAGTTGTTGTTCTTTTGTTGCTGTCTGTTTATCTTCAGTTTTCTTGGTATAGTACTCCTTTCAGAATTTCTTGAAGAGCTGGTCTGGAGTTGGTAAGTTCTTTCAGGTTTTGTTTATCCAAGAATGTTTTTATCTTCTTTTCCTATATGAAGGATAATCTTGCCAGGTATAGTATTCTTGGTTGAAATTGTTTTTCATTTAACACTTTGAATATATTTGCCCATTCTTTCCTTGCTTGCATTGTATCCAATGAGAGGTCTGGTGTTAGCCTAATGAGATACCCTCTCTTGCCAGTCTTAGTATCTTGTCTTTGTGGTTTTGGCCAATTTAGCTATGATGTGCTGTGGAGAGGATCTTGGATTGATTCTACTTGGGGTGCCTGAATGTTTGAGTGCCTCTCTAGACTTGGAAAGTTTTCTTCCACAATTTTGTGGAATAGATTATCAATACCCTTATTAGTTTCTTCACCTTCTGGGATGAAGGATGTTTGGGCATTTGGATGTTTGGGCGTTTCACTGTATTTAGTATTTCTCGTATATTATCCTCAGTTTTTTTTGGGCTGGTTTATCAGGTTATTTTATAATTTTTTTCTAGGTCAGAAGTTTTGCCTTCTGCTTCCAAGATTTAATCTTCTGCATGGTCTAACCTGCTTTTAATACTTTCGAGGGAGATTTTGATTTCTTGAATTACAGCCTTCATATCTACAGTTCCTTTGGGTTCCTTTTTATGGTGTCTAATTCTTCTTTCATATAGTGGAAGGACTTCCTCATCTCTTGGAGTTCAATGTCTCTTTTCTCTTGTATCTCATAGAGTTTTGTTACCATAAATATTCTAAATTCTTTTTCTGACATTTCAGTAGTATCCTCTAATTTTTCTATACTTTGAAATGAATTATGATGTTTCCTTGCTGGAGATGTATTACTTGGTTCTCTCATCCTTGAGACTCTTCTCTGATTTTTAGTCATTTGGTAACGTATTCACTTTTGGCTAATTTGTTGAAGGATTCTGTGTCTGTGAGCTTGTTTAGACACAAGCTTACTGTGAAATAATTTGGCACTACTTTCTCTCTTCTACTGTGTCCTTCACTGTGAGAATCACAGGAGGAGTTTTGCAATCAGATTTATAAAGGAGAATTTTCCTCTTTTTTTGCAACCACTACAGTGAGGTGCAAAGATTCTTTTTTTGCAGCCACTACAGTGAGGTGCAAAGAATTGTCTAAAACTCACAATATTCAGATGTTTAGTACTATGTATCTAGTCTTCTCTATGCAGTAGGTCAGGGGTGAGCAGTAAAACATGAAAGTAAGAGGCAAAAAAAAGAAAGCAGGAAATTGAAATAAGAAGAAAAAGCAAAGAAAAAAGAAGGAAAGAACTAGAACAAAAAAAGCGGGGAGAAAAACAGAGATCACACTGTAGAAAATGAAATTGGGTTAAAATGGTTAAGTGAGTAGCATGCAAGTGCACCACGGGAAGGGCCAACAGAGGCAGAGGTGGAGATGCCTGGATTCATTCTGTCCTAGCTGAGGGAAGAAGAGACAAATTAGCAAGCGAAAGGCGCAAATGGGACAGAAAGCTGTTTTTTAAAGGAGAAAAAATAGTTAGAAGGGACATAGAAGAACAAGTGTGAGAGAGACACTTGCCTACCTGACTAGCACTGGGGTCTGGAAGGGTACCCTGGCTGGGGGTGCGAGGGGCTTCACAGCTGTGAAACTGAACCCAGAGGGCCAACAGAG